TAAAAAGTACTAAAACTGTATAACAGCGGAACGGTTAGAAGTAGAACTTTGAAATTTGGCAGATAGCTTTGTATCTGAAGAGCGAAGTGGTATGTTTGAAAAAATTTTGGAATTTAGTACTAAGAGGTGCTAAAAAGTACTAAATATATAAGAATGGAATCGGTAGATATACATATCTGAAATTTGTTATGTAGCTTAAGATATTACAAAAAGAATGATGTATAAAAATATATTTTTTGGAAATTAGTACTAAAATGGTACTAAAACATTATTACAACGGAACGGTTGGAAGTGACAATGATAAGCGAATCAGAATGTGTGAACAAATTTTTTAAATTAGTACTAAAGGTACTAAATATTGAGCAGGTAGGGATACATAACAACATTTTTAACATTATTGGAAATTAGTGGCAGTGGTGGTAAAAAAGGTCTAAAATAAAAAATGAAATGGAACTGGTGGAAATAGAAATCTGAAATTTGATATGTTCCTCACTCTGTTACAAATAGAATGTTATGCATAATTCTTTTGAAATTAGTACTAAAATATACTAAATACTATATAGTATAAATAATAAATTATATAGTATACAAATACCTACCATTTTAGTACTAATTTTTGAAATTAATACAAAATATTAAATTATAACGGAAAAGTTAGAGATTAAAATCTGAAAATAAGTACAAATAAGAGGGTTTGTTTATTGGAAATTCGTTCTAATTGCCACCAAAAATACAAAATATTGCACTGTGTGGAAAAGGTATAATTCTAAAACTCGGTATGTAGCTATGTATATTACAAACAAATGGAATACGCCAAAAGTTAGTAAATTGTACTTGCAGTACGAACAAGTACTAAATTTTGTGTACGCTAGAACATGTAAAGATAGGAACCTGTTATTAAAAATTTACCTGCAACAACAAACATTTATACATACATATTTTCCAGAAATAAATTCTAAAATGTATTAAAAAAAAACAACACATTGTATACGGCGGTACGTGGGGATATAGAATTTGGTACAAGACTTTTTCTATAAAAAAAATAATGCTTTTCGCAATTTTGTTTGACATTTATACCTAAAGTAAATATTGTATACGACTGAACGAGTAGAGTCCTGAAATTTTGTATGTATATTTAGCTACAACAAATTAATTTTTTATTTGTACTAAAATCACTAAATTTAGTATTAATCTTTGGCTATGGCAGAAAACTGATTTATGGAAATATTTTTCAAAAAATTTTACTAAAAATTGCTGACATTAGTTTCCAAATTGACATGGATCTACAGCGAATGATTATGTGAATTTTGGTTTCAACTTCCGGTGAAATTATACAAACAAGCAACTGAACACCACAAGTACTAAATTTTTGGCACTTTTAAACGCAAATGTTTCTAATCTTCTACAAAAACAGTACTGACTACATCGACTTGCGATGTAATGAATATGGGGCTGGATCTTTATGTCGAGGTTATACTAATAATACTGAAAAAAATTTTTCCAATGACAATTTGTAACACGTAACGCACCAGAAGTACTATATTTCTGAAATTATAATGGAAATCTTTCTCTACATAATAAATAATGAGCTGTGCAATATATTATATTACAAATTCGAACTACAAGGGTACAAAAGTACGAAAACTTACTTCGTATTTTACCATTAGTATTAAATTACAGAAAGGAACATAAAAGTCTAATAGCCGTATTATGGTACTATTTGCATAAGTCTATCGGGAGGATCGAGAAAATATTACACATGCACAAATATAAGCAAGTTGTACTCGATTAAGTAAGAAAGATAGAAGCATCAACGATTCTGTTCAAAAGAAATGCATAATAAGATCTGAGACTTTCTTAACAAATTTAAGATATAGGACCTATCTTTATTAGAAATGTTTTAAATTCATACTTAATGTGTATTGTGTAGCTAAATTAATGTTTTTTTATTTTAACTACAAAAAGAACCGCTAACGACGTAGCGGGCATATGCTAGTATACATATATATCCTTATAATGGTCCAGGCCCATTTAAGTAGGCGCATTTTCCACCGAAAGAGGCTGTAATTTGACATTTAGATAGTTTTTTGAATATGGGTCCACATTTTGAATAGCGGCCATATAATGGTACCGCTCTCTTTTCGCTATTTTGAAGTTGCTACAAGTACCTGGGTATTTTTATACTCTTCACCACACTGTGATAAAGGGTATTATGTATTTGTTTATATGTTTTACATTGTGCACCAAACTCCCAATATTTGTCCCAATGAGACGAGATTTTGCACAGCATACTGAATTAATACAGTTTTATATCTGTGAAGTTTTGAAATCGGTTCATGTTTATATATAACTCCCATATATAGATTCGCCCGGTTTTATGTAAATGGTGCACAAAACTCCAAATCTTTGTCCGATTGAGACGGAATTTTGCATAACGTAAAGTTTCGTTAAAATCGAATCAGGTATACCAAACTCTCAAGGTTCGACCGATTGAGACAAAATATTGTGTTACGTACTGAGTTATGTATAGATAGGTATAGATAGACGTATGCGAAGTTTGTTAAAATCGGCAAAGATTTAGATATAGCTGCCATATATATTTTTGTCCGATTTTCTTTAAATGACTCACCAAACTCCCAATATTTGTCCAAATGGAAAAAAATTTTGCACAACATACTAAATTAAGCCCAGTTTGATGCATGTGAAGTGTTCTCGAAATCGGTTCTGATTTAGACATAGCTACTACAATACTTTAATGCGATTTTATGTTAATTCTGGACTAAATTCAGTAAGCTATGCCAAATCTCGTGCAAATCGAAGGGCATATAGGGACTTTGGTGCACCATTTTCATGAAATCAGACGAAACTATATATAGGAGCTATACCTAAATCTGGACCGATTATCACGAAACATGACAGACATCACTCGAGGCTCAATTCAGTACGTTATGCCAAATTTCATGCAAATCTAAAGATATATAGGGACTTAATCTGAACCGATTTTCTCGAAAATTGTCAGACATGACTCTACACTTTATTCAGAACGCTATACCGTATTTCGTGCAAATCGACAGATATATAGGGTTTTTAGTGCACCATTTACCTTAAATCGGACGAAAATATATATGGGAGCTATATCTAAATCTGAACCGATTTTCACGAAACTTAGCAGACATCACTCTAGCCTCAATTCAGTACTCTATGCCAAATTTCGTGCAAATCGAAGGATATATAGGGACTTTGGTGCAAATCGAAAGATATATAGGGACTTTGGTGCACCAATTACATAAAATCGGACGAAACTATATATGGGAGCTATATCTAAATCTGAACCGATTCTCACGAAAGTTGGCAGACATCACTCTAGGCTCAATTCAGTACGCTATGCCAAATTTCGTGCAAATCGAAGGATATATAGGGACTTTGGTGCACCATTTATATGAAATCGGTCGAAACCATACATGGGAGCTACGTCTACATCTGAACCGATTTTCTCGAAACTTGGCAGACACCATTCTAGGCTCAATCCAGTACGTTATGCCAAATTTGGTGCAAAACGGAAGACATATAGGGACTTTGGTGCAAATCGAAAGATATATAGGGACTTTGGTGCACCATTTACCATAAATCGGACGAAACTATATATGGGAGCTATATCTAAATCTGGCCGGATTTTCTCGAATCTTAGCACACATCATTCTAGACGTAATTCTGTACTCCGTGCCAAATTTCGTGCAAGTCGAAAGATATATAGGGTCTTTGGTGCACCATTTGCCTTAAATCGTACGAAAATATATATGGGAGCTATATCTAAATCTGAACCGTTTTTTCCCAATTTCATCAGGGTTCGTCCTTGGGCCAAATGAATGAGCTGTCCCAAATTGCATCCAATTCGAATAATAAATGCGACCTGTACTTTGTTTACAATTTAACATGGACAGACGGACGGACATGCGTAAATCGACTTAGAAAGTGATTCTATGCATATTCTCAAAAGGAACCATGTGTCTATCTCGATTCCTTTTGCCTGTTACAAACATATGCACAAAGACATAATACCCTGTACCACAGTGTGGTGAAGGTTATAATAAGGTAGATCTTGACCGATTGCATTTATCCTAGTTCATACAATAGCTATACACTCACAGATCAACATCCCAAAATTTGAAATCGATAAGGTTATTAGTTTTTGTGTTATCGTATTCATAAGGACATTCTAGAATTCGAATTAGATCAAAACACAATTTTTTTTTTTTAACTGTGAAAAGGTGAAAAGGTGAACTTTTGTGTGAACAAATTCCTTTCTATGGTGTATATGTTTACCGCAAATGGAAAGAGGAGTGGCTCACCTTTGAATTGATACCAATTATGCTGTTGTATGTACTCGGATTTTGGAGTTATATGTACATATTTGCAGGGGTCTTCGTATTGTCATGTTGTCTAGTATTGCGATTGTCTTACACGAAGTTCCGGTCAAGGACTACGCATATAATTTTCAGTTATGATTCGGGGATGAAATGAATCGAAAGCATAATTTTTGTCTGGTTTTCTTGTCACTCTAGAAGCAACTTTAATAAGCCGAATAATGTTACAAGGGGAAGGTGATCTGGCCAACGAAGAAGTATAGCTGAGTATTGCTCTCAAATTTTGGGGCAAAGTAAGTAATACCCTATGTATACTCTATGTGTAATATAATATCCGGCTCGACAATATAATGTAGGGTATATTTATAATTGACTTCTACACCCACTCCAAGTCTCCCACATACACATTTATATTGCTGTATGTCCACACCTCCCAATTGCGAATATCGATATGATTGGTGCAAACACACCATTGTGAACATTGAAATGATTAGATTAGCGGAGGCCTACATATTGAGTTTTGCACAGAAATTTCAAACAAATACCACAAGATGAGCACCTAGTGCTTCAGTTCTTAATAGATCTCGATAGTATTTTCATCTTGAAAAATAAGCGAACTTGTTTATATTTTTCACAATGTTGACATTTATAAAAGCCGTTGACCAAATGAGTCGTGTAAGTGAGAGTGTATTTTTTAAATATAGTGTTATCGGAACGAACATTTTTTTCAAATGTTCAAGTATTTTGAAGAGGGAATTTAATAATATAGTTCTTTAAATTATTATTTGGAAGATAATAAAATGCTATATTCCAAACATCCGTAATTTTCAATTGGCAATAGATGTGAAAAGTGCAAAATTGCCGATTTTTGTACATTTTTGTGGTCTGAATTTTTAAATATAGTTGTTTCTTCATTTTTGCAGGTACCCAAACCTCGTAACATCCTCTCCTTAAACGCTGAAGAAAAACGTAGATTTTTGGATTCTTTCGATTTTGTATTTTCGGATATTGATGGTGTGGTTTGGAATGCAACGGGTAACATCGAAGGCAGTGGGGATGGCTTTAATGCTTTGTGTGAGGCTGGCAAAAAATTAATCTTCATTACAAATAACAGTGCTCGCCCCGAGGATGTGTGTTTGGAGAAACTGAGAATGAATAAAATTAAAATAGAAGCGGTAAGTTTCCTCACTATATAATAGTTATACTAAAATTCCTAAATTGTGATATTCCCCCATTCCAGAATGACCTAATCCATCCATCCAAAAGTATTGCAGAGTATCTGAAAAGTATTAATTTTGATAGCGCGATATATGCCATTACAAGTGAATCTTTTAAAAATTCACTGCGGGCTCAGGGTTTCAACGTTATGGATGGGGTAAGTTCAGCACTACTTCCAATCTTGTGTTCTATTCTAACCAAATTGTTTTTCCTATTTTTTTCCAGCCTCATAAAGTTATTGACGAATCATTTCGTGATCTTATGGCCGATGTCATTAATTGTGATCCGGTCAAGGCGGTTGTCATCGATTTTGATTTCAACGTAAATATGACAACAATGATGAAGGCTCACTATTATTTACGTCAACCCGATTGTTTGTTGATTGGTGGCGCCACAGATTACTACTTACCTGTAACCAAAGATTTGTGGCTTTTAGGACCCGTTGGTTTTCTTAAAGTTTTAGAAGAAGCCAGCCGCAAGGAGGTGTTACTTTTTGGTAAACCTGGCAAAGCATTGGCCGATAGAATTCTGACACGTTATGATATTGAGGATCCAAGTCGTGCCCTAATGATTGGTGATATGTTGGATCAGGATGTACGTTTTGGTAAACGTTGCGGCTTCCAGACTCTGATAGTTCTAAGTGGTGGCCTGAAACTTGAAGAGCTTATGTGTCAAACAAATCCAAATGTTATACCAAATTATTATGCCAATAGTATGAAAGATTTTGTCGAATTTATGAAGGACGTGAAAAATTCGAATGCTTAATTGTTTAATTGATATTTGTAGGGTGTAAAAAATATGTTAAGTATTTAATATTATTAGTTTAATCAATCAACAATATTTTTAGTTATATTTATAAAAATAAAACTATATTAAAATATAATAAGATTATAGTTTTTTTGGTAATTTATAGTTCCGTGATCAGGTTGAAAAGAGGATTGGTAAATCATCTCCATATGTCTGACAGTTACAATGTACACTTAGGGCAGTCAATGCCTGTTGTGTGCTCTAAAATATGAAACAAGATAAGTCTCCCTATACTTCAGAAATTCTGTATATTTTTACGAAATCGTTAATTTTTAATACTTACCACCTCATGCCAGATGAAATATTGAATTTAAAGTATTGCATAGGAAATGTTCCAACGTTGGCTTCCATGCATGTATCTTGAGCAAATATGGCTATCGACTGAGGTATCCTGTGAGAATATCTCTCAGTATGCTTAGTCTTTATCCAGTGGGGTTATTCCAAAGCAGTTCTAGACTTGTTGGACTAAATGATTGTGCTGTAGCACTTCTTGCGAGTACGTCCACCGCGAACCCGTGTCCATATAATTCGTACTTGATCCTTTCCGAGGTTTATAAACCGAAAATTCTAAAATATTGCTTTGGTATTTTCCATTATCAAAAAGAATTACACATAAGAGGTCTTCACCGCCACTATTTGATACCAGAAGCTTTGCAAAATGCTCCTTCCAAATCCTCAACACAATATCTGTATAAGTCACCAGGTTTCCAACTTCATCTCTGCAGGAGGATGTGACTGCACCAAAGACTTCGGTTTAGACAACTAATCCGATGCCTCAACCTATTTTTATACCCTTCACCACAATGTGGTATAGGGTATTATGTCTTTGTGCATATGTTTGTAACAGGCAAAAGGAAACGAGATAGACCCATGGTTCCTTTTTAGAATAGGTATATAATCACTTTCTAAGTCGTTTTATGCATGTCCGTCCATCCGTCCGTCCGTCTGTCTGTCCATGTTAAATTGTAAACAAAGTCTATGACCCGAATTAGATGAAATTTGGCACAGCTCATTTGTTTGGCACAAGGACGAACCCTATTGAAATTGGGAAAAAAAATTTAGATATAGCTCCCATATATAGTTTCGCATGAATTTCAGTAAATGGTGCACCAAAGCTAAAATATATGGGCGATTGACACAAAATGTTGCACAACGTACTGAAGTAGGTATAACCTAATGTTGTGAGAAGTTTCGCTGAATTCGGTTCAGATTTAGATATAGCTCCCATATATAGTTTTGTCCGATTTTAAGTATATGGTGCATCAAAATATGACCGAATGGCACACAATTTTGCACAACGTACTGAAGTTACTATAACATAAAGTGTGTCAATTTTTGTTGAAATGGGTTCATATTTGGATATAGCTCCCATATAGTTTTGCCCGATTTTCAGTAAATGGTTCACCAAAGCTCCAAAATATGGCCGATTGATACAAAATTTTGTATAACGTACTGAAGTTAGTATTAACTACTGTGTGGAAAGTTTCGGTCCAGATTTAGATATGGCTACCAAATATAGTTTTGCCCGATTTTCAGTAAATGGTTCACCAAAGCTCCAAAATATATCCGATTGATACAAAATTTTGTATAACGTACTGAAGTTAGTATTAACTACTGTGTGGAAAGTTTCGGTCCAGATTTAGATATGGCTACCATATATAGTTTCGTCCGATTTTCGGTAAATGGTGCACCAAAGCCCCAAAACATGGTCGATTGACACATAAGGTAACGTGTGTCAAGTTTTCTTGAAATCGATTTATATTTAGATATAGCTCCCATATATAGTTTCATCCGATATTAAGTTAAATATGTGTCCGATTGAGATTGATTTTAAATCGATTTACATAATTTTGTCAGGACAGTGTCCACAATTGGGTATTTTGATAAACGTGCCCAAAGTACCAACAATTTTAGGATACCGTTATAAGAGGACTACGAGAAAAAGTAGAACAAAAATATCGAAATTTTAGTTGTACGTCATATGGAGGCTACTGGTAAAAGTAGACGAATACTAATAACATTAGATATGGAGATACCTAGTGTGAATTCAGAATACCAAATTACATTCACTTTGATTGTAAAACGTGCCCACACTCCCCAAAGTACAAAAAATTGGTGGTATCGTTATATGGGGGATATTTTAGAACGGGGATCTATATAGCCCTTTTTTTAAGCGTTATAGGACGATCAATATGTTTCCAGAAGTACAGTCCTAGTATACAGTAATAACTTATTATTCCCGCACATAAAGAAAAACATTATTGGTCAACGAAAATGTGGTCGCAAGCCATTTTAAATGTGCTTCGTCAATTCGTTGGAGTTAATTAATTTTAAGTGCTCAAATATATTTTTTATGTACTTTTATTATATTGAAGCTTATAACTTTTTATAATACCTAAAAATATTATTTGCCTTCATTTCAGTATACAGACACATTGAGCATAAATATTATTTTGCAAAATAATTCAACGATAATCACGTTTCAATTCGTTATCGGAACGTGAACAATTTGCTTGAGTACACGTGATAGTGGCTAACTACTCCAACATTTGTATTTTTGTTATCAGAAAATTGACGGTTCATACAAGTAATTGAAAGGAAATTTTAACCACATATAATGAATAGAGCTACAACGGTAAATTAACTACTTAATATTATATCATTGTTGATGGGACTGAATAGTTTCACACCAGGACTATGTTATGTTTCGATTGAAACATAAATTGGAACTACATAGATGGAGGGAGCTGAACAGGATCAATAAAATGATTTATCATTATTATTATTTTTATACCCTTCTTTGTGCATATGTTTGTAACAGGAAAAAGGAATAGAGATAGACCCATGGTTCCTTTTGAGAATCAGATTTAGATATACCTCGCATATATAGTTTCGTCCGATTTTAGGTGAATGGTGCACCAAAGTCCCTGAAAATCATTTGATTTGCACGGATTTTTACATAGTGTATTGAATTAGGTCTACAATGACGTGTGCCAAGTTTCGTGAAAATCGGTTCAGATTTAGATATAGCTCCCATATATAGTTTCGCCCGATTTTAGGTAAATGGTGTACCAAAGTCCCTGAAAATAATTAGATTTGCACGAATTTTGGCATAGCGTATTGAATTAAGTCTAGAATGGCGTGTGTTAAGTTTCGTGAAAATCGGTTCAGATTTAGATATAGCTCCCATATATAGTTTCGTCCGATTTAAGGTAAATGATGTACCAAAGTCCCTATATATCTTTCGATTTGCACGAAATGTGGTATGGCCTACTGAATTAGGTCTAGAATGATGTGTGCCAAGCTTCGTGAAAATCGGTTCAGATTTAAATATACCTCCCATATATAGTTTCGCCCGATTTTAGGTAAATGGTGCACCAAAGTCCTTGAAAATCATTTGATTTGCACGGATTTTTACATAGTGTATTGAATTAGGTCTAGAATGGCGTGTGCCAAGTTTCGTGAAAATCGGTTCAGATTTAGATATAGCTCCCATATATAGTTTCGCCAGATTTTAGGTAAATGGTGCACCAAAGTCCCTGCAACTCTTTTGATTGGCAAGAATTTTGGTATAGCGTGCTAAATTATGTTTAGATTGATGTGTGCGAAGTTTCGTGAAAATCGGTTCAGATTTAGATATAGCTTCCAAATATAGTTTCGTCCGATTTTATGTAAATGATGGACCAAGGTCCCTGAAAATCATTCGATTTGCACGAATTTTGGCATAGCGTATTGAATTAAGTCTAGAATGATGTGTATACCTCCTATATATATTTTTGTCCGATTTTAAGTAAATTGTGCCCTAAGATCCATAGCGGGGCCGATTGACACAACGTACTGAAGTTAATATAAATTAATATCTTGAATGAATAATTAATTACTTGAAATCGGTTCAGATATAGATATATCGTAGCTTCCATATATAATTTCGACTTATTTATATTAATTGTACACCAAATGGGTGTCTGTTTGAGATTAAATTTTAAACAGTGCAGCATACCGAATAGCGTTTCAACTTTGATTTAAGGGAAGGGAATTTTTGTTGTTGTTTTGTACTTGTTTTATTGATCAAAGAAAAGTCCTCATTTTTGATGGCGGGCATGATAACTCCTCACTGGAACATAGGAATCCGAAAATTCCAACGGTGTTAGAAAGAGTACAAGTCTGGCTCTCGTAGGAACTAGGATTATTGACTTCGCACAAGAATTAACAAAATGGCGGAACTTTGAACTTTTTGTTGTTGTTTTAGTGATCAAAGGAAAGTCCTTATTTTTGATGGTGGGCATGATAACTCCTCACTGGAACATCGGAATCCGAAAATTCCAACGGTGTTAGAAAGAGTACATGTCTGGCTCTCGTATGATTAGGATTATTGACTTCGCACAAGAATTAACAAAATGGCGGAACTTTGAAATTTTTTGTTTTTTTTTTTTTTTTTTTTTGGAAAATCGTCTATTTTTTAACGACGTTAAAAATAAGGAAGATCTTCACCGATTGGCTTTATCCTAGTTCATACGATAGCTATACACTCAGAAACGTCCCGAAATTTGGAATCGATTGGGTTATTGGTTTTTGAGTTGTCATGCCCGCCATTCGCAAAAACGCTGTTTGGAGAAAAACGCGTGTAAAGTTTGAGAAGTCTTCTTGCTGTCACTTGATGCTAATACAATAAATGGGCTATATTTTCAAAAGTTGAGATTTTCACTTGAAAATTTATAGGAACATTCTTGAATTAGTGTAGGTTCGAATTAAATCAACATACAAAATTAAATTTTTTGAAACCGAGAATGGGGGGTTCCGTTAAATCGATTTACACAAATCTGTCCCACTGTGCGCAAACGACTCTAAACTTACCCAAATGAAATGAAATTTAGCATAGGTTCCAGAAAGACATGTCAAAATTCCTTCAAAAAGGCGACGTCTTTTCGGATACATATGTAGAATATACCCAAAGGGTATCATATAGTGAAGGGTATCATATAGTCGGCCCAATCCGACTTTATTACTTTCCTTACTGGTTTTATATTAAATTTGTTAAATTTGTCATTCCTTTTGTCACCTCAAAAATTGGACACACATCATTCTAGACTGCTCTATGCCAAATTTCTTGCAAATTTAAATATATGTATATATGGAATTTTTTGCACCATTTACATTAAATCGGTCGAACATATCGTATATATATTTTTACATATACACCTCATAACATTCGTTTGATTGCACAGCGTACCGAAAAAAGTCGGGAATAACGTGAGTAAAATTTGCATTATATCGGTTCAGATTTAGATATAGCTGCCAAATATATTATTCCGATTTTATTTATTTTTTGCGGTCAAGACGCTGTACTGCAACGTACCAATTGGCACATTCCCAATTTTCTTTCAAAACGAACCAGATAACTTACCTTGATTTCATGCTCATGGTAAAACATATAATCTAATTCCGCCCAATTGACAGTGTATTTTGCATATATTTCAAAATGACATGTGTATGTTGTGATTTAAATAGTTTCATATATCCATATAGAGCACAATTTTGTCGATTTGATGTCAGTGGTCCCCCAATGGTGTTACATTTATTCTATCGTACATGTTTTACTTGGTATATACTTTACAAAAAGGATCATAAAAGCATTTCTTGTATGTGTGAAGGCTATCTTGAAGTGGTGAATAGTATCAAATAGTCGATCCGTCCAAGTTTTGAACTTAGATTACTTTTTCTCTACCATAGAGAATGCAAAAATGTGAATAAAGAAATATCTACGTTAACACGGAGGAATTCTTAAAAATGAATTGTATATTATAGAACATTAAATGAGTTCTGTGGAAAGTAAAGTCAATAAATAATCAATTCACGTTTCAAGAAGATAAGAACTCACTAACATCAACATGTTATAAATGCTGAGATGTCTATATGTTCACGTGAAAACGTTTTGAAACGACAGTAAATTTTATCGATCGATGGCAATGAATTTCATGTTTGTATTTTTTTAATTTTGAGTTGATAAGAAATGTCTGCTGTTATGTGCAGCATAATGTCACATCATTGGGAATTTTTGTTCGGCATTGAAATATAGGTTAAAAATAAATAAAATTTTTGCAAAATCATTCCAAATATATTCTTTATTGCAAAGAATGGTGGGTGGGCAATTCAAAGATTAATAATCAATATTTAATCGAGTATTCGATTGAACAATTGTTTACTATTGGAACGAGAACTTTTCGCTCCAGACACGTTTAATGAATGTTGAGAATATATGCCATATAAATGCAAAACATTTTAAAACCAGTAAGGAAAGTAGTAAAGTCGGACGGGACCGACTATATGATACCCTTCACCACTTTGGGTGTATTAAGGAGATGAATCCTTAGAGACGTCGCATTTTTGAAGGACCACTAACATGAAAATGGATCCATAAACATGCCATTCTGCAACCTATACAAATTTTTGTCATTTGGTCGGATATAGAGTTGCTTCTTACAATGGGACAAAAATATGTAAATAAATTTAAGGGAACCCCCCCCCCCCCCCCATTCACGATTTTATTTTTCCAAGATTTTCAATATTATTGTTTTGTTGTTGTTTTTTGTAATTAAAGAAAAGTCCTTATTTTTGATGGCGGGCATGATAACTCCTCACTGGAGCATCGGAATCCGAAAATTCCAACGATGTTAGAAACAGTACATGTCTGGCTCTCGTATGAACTAGGATTATTGACATCGCTATAGAATTAACAAAATGGCGGACCTTTGAAAAAATATTTTTGGAAAATCGCCGATTTTTTACCAAAAACCAAGTTAAAAAATAAGGAAGATCTTCACCGATTGGCTTTATCCTAGTTCATACGAGAGCTACACACTCCCAGAGAAACGTTGCAAAATTTGGAACCGATTGGATTATTAGTTTTTGAGTTATCGTGTCCGCCATTCGCAATAAAATGTTTAGAGAAAAACGCGTTTAAAGTTTGAGAAGCCTATGAACCCATTTCAAGAAAACTTTCCACATTCCAGGTTATATTAACTTCAGTATGTTGTGCAAAATTTTGTGCCAATTTAACTATAATCGGTCAAAACTATATATCTAATATACCTATACCTAAGCTATACCTAATTCGGAACCGATTCCTAAATAACTTGGCCAACGTTAGGCAATATTAATTTCAGTACGTTGTGCAAAATTTTCTAGCAAATGGCCTAACTTTGGGTCTTTTGTGCACCTTTTATTTAAAATCGGACGAAACTATATCTAGGAGCTATATCTAAATCTGAACCGAACTTGTCACACTTTATCTTATATTATCTTCCGTACGTTGTGCAAAATTTTGTGCCAATCGGACCCACCTGGGGAATTCCGTGCAGAATTTATATCTTATTTCTAGGTTTTACTAACTTCAAAACCTTGTGCAAAATTTTGTGTCAATGTTGTGTAAAATCGGACGAAAATAAATATGGGAGCTATATCCAAATCTTGACCGATTTTCAGGAAACTTAACACACATCATTTAAGATCTAATTCAGTACACTATGCCCAATTCCGTGCAAATCGAAAGTTATATAGGGACTATTTACATAAAATCGGACGAATATATATATATATATATATATATGGGAGCGATCTAAATCTGGACCGACTTTCAGGAAACTTAACACACATCATTCTAGACTTAATACAGTACGCTGTGCCAAATTTCGTGCAAATCGAAAGATATATAGGGACTTTGGTGTACTATTTAGCTTAAATCGGAAGAAACTATATATGGGAGCTATATCTGAATCTGATCCGATTTTCTCGAAAATTGGCACACATTATTCTAGACTTAATTCAATACGCTATTCCAAAATTCGTGCAAATCAAATGATTTTCAGGGACTTCGGTACACCATTTACCTAAAATCGGGCGAAGCTATATATGGGAGCTATATCCAAATCTGAACCGATTTTCACGAAACTTAGCACACATCTTTCTAGACCTAATTCAGAAAGTAATACCAAATTTCGTGCAAATCGAAAGGTATATAGGGTCTTTGGTACCCCATTTACATTAAATCGGACGAAGCTATATATAAGAGCTATATCTAAATCTGAACCGATTTTCTCCAATTTCAATAGGGTTCGTCCTTGGGCCAAATAAGTGACATATGCCAAATTTCATCCAAATCGGATCATAAATACGACCTGTACTTTGTTAACAAAAACACATGGACGGACGGACAGACGGAAGGACAGACGGACATGCATAAATCGGCTCAGAAAGTGATTCTATGCATATTCTCAAAAGGAACCATGGGTCTATCTCGATTATTTTTGCCTGTTACAAACATATGCACAAAGACATAATACCCTGTACCACAGTGTGGTGAAGGGTATAAAAAGAACCGTAGAAATTAGGCAATGATAGGAAACTCGAAATGTGAAAAATAATAAAACTATGTAACAAAATAGAGCTCATAATCTGGGATGAAAAATTCTTTATGGGGATACTGTATTAGGAACTCAGAAGGACAAATTCGCTATTCGTCATAATGTATTAAGAACTCAGAAGGACAAACTCGCTATTCGTCATAGTGTACATTAAAGTTCAGACTTTTTTATTTTAAGAAACCAAACACCTTTATAGGAGCCTATAGGGACTCCTTTATAGGAGCCTAGAAACCCATTTTATTGGAGTCTATAACTACTCTTTCATCGGAGGCTATAAAGAATCCTTTATCGGACCCCTTTCAGGAGTCCTTTATCGGAGTCTATAAAGATTCCCTTATTGGAGTATATTAGGACTTCTTTATCAGAGTCCAAGATGACTCCTTCTAGAAGCTTATAAATAATCCTTTATAGGAGTATATAAAGACTGCTTTGTAGGGGTCTATAAAGACCTCTTTATAGGAGTCTATAAAGACTCCATTGTAGGGGTCTATAAAGATGCCGTTATGGGAGTCTATTAAGACTCCGTTGTAGGGGTGTATAAAAACCCCTTTATAGTAGGGGTCTATAAATAACCCTTTATCTATCGTAAAATCTATTAAGACTCCGTTGTAGGGGTGTATAAAAAAACATTTATAGGATAAAGGAGTCTCCATAGAACCCTGCAAAGGAGTCTTTATAGACTCCTATAAAGGAGTCATTATAGACTCCTTTAAAGGAGACTTCTGTAAAGGAGTCTTTATAGATTCCTATTAAGGAGTCTTTATAGAGACCATTGCTTCCAAAAAAGTCACTGTTTGTGGCGGTCTTTAGTCCAAAGTTGTGATTAAACCTAACTTCTTCGAAAATCTTGCTTAGTCTTCGATTTTAACTCCGCAGAAAATTAAAAGTGATAGTTATATACGTCGGCCACGTCCGATTATACTGTTCCGTTTACTCTTTTCTTTATTTACTCTTTAAATATACTTACTATTAACTAAAATACTATAATTGATAATGACAAAACATAATGCATTCCATAAATCTAATTCGTGTGATTGTGTTATTAGTGTTAAATAAGATTATTCAAATCGGCCAATTTTTCAATGACGTAATCGGGACAATTTAACGTATTCAATTCCAGCGATTGCAAATGTTGTACCTCAAATGGTTCCGTTAATATAAACATTGTTTGAAATCCACATTCTTTGCCAAATTGTATATCACTTCGTAAGCTGTCACCGATCATTAAAACTCGTTTAGGATCATTGATGTTGAAAGAACGTTTTAATAATTCTCCCAACTCGGCTCCAGGTTTACCAAAGACTTTGGCCTTTCGTTGATTGGCTTCTTCAACAATGTGCATAAAGGCTCCTGGACCCAACAATTCATGGCCACCAAATGGAATGCGTGGGTCGGCAGCACCAGCTATAAACAAACATTGGGGATTCTTCAACAAAACTTGAGCTCTCATCAATTTCCAGGCAGTTAAATTAAAATCAATATCAATTACAACAGCCTTTACGGGATCTTTGTTATATATGGCATGATGCAAATCGATTACGGAGCCATCAATAAGTCGTTCTTTCTGTGAATGGATAATAATATGAATAATAATAGATAGTAATAGAATTGTAAAATTTTAATATTTTTAATAATTATTTTTTTTTTAATAATTATTTGTTTAGTTTTATTTAATTTTACATATGGCTTACCTCTTCTACGACATCGAATCCACTATCACGTAAATGCTGTTTAAAAGCTGACGAAGCAAAGCATAGGATTAACCCTTGAAAGTTTTCACTTTTCAAATAATCGCTTATAGTTTTCGCAGGATGTACTAAATCTTGCTGAAATTAGAAAAAAACAACAACTATTTACATAAAATAATAAACAAATATAAATACGTTAAGAAAAATTCGGACCGATCGCCGACGTTAGCGTTAACATTAGAATAGATTAAATTACTTTATATATTATATATATAATATACATGTATATATATATATATATATATATATATAAGCTCTTAACAATGTGGATTATGTTGAAATATACATTTTCTAAAGGAACTTTCACTTAAAATAGTGTTAGTCCCAGCCACAGGAAACTGCAACAGTGAGACGGACACTTCACCACTTTGTATATATATATATATATATATATATATATTGAGATGTCCCTACGATTATTATACCAACATAAAGATGTACACATATCGATTAAAATGAAACATAACAGGTGTCATATCAAATGAATTTTGTAATATTTGGACAATACCCTTTTGATGGGACGGACACTGTATACTAAATCTAACAATTTTTTTATAAATGTGCCTCCATTTCAAAAAGTCTTAACTAACACCATTCAGTATGCTGCCAAACAGTGCACTATCAAAATCTCTCTTTGACGAAAATATTAACCTCTGAATATTTATATAGTTACACCTGAACTTAATTTAGTATGTGGTGGTGGGAGCACGTGGAGTATTAGATAATATGGACCGAATATATATATGAGAACTATATAGTGTTGGAGATAAAAGACAATTTAAATAAAACCTAATGCACGGCAGTTTAGGCACGACGAAATTATATAAGGAAGCTATATATCTGAAATTTTAAATGCAAACTGTACTTTATTTACAATTTTATATTAACAGACGGACAGACTTAGAAAGTGACTATATGCATATTCTCAAAAGTAAATATGGGAGTAAGACATGCCAAAGCGTAATGAGGGGCATACAAATTTGATTTATAAGCACTTTAACACTATAAAAGTACCAATAACTGCTAGATAACGTTTTGTTTTCACATGTCACTATGCACATGGGGAGATGGATTTCAATTGTCATAAAGGACATTAAAATACCGACCATTTTTGTCGAAACAGTTCTTTTTTCACTTGAATGAAAGCAATCCGGAATGAAATGGTCATAAAGTGGAAATTATTCTTTTTATACCCTTCACCATACTGTGGTACAGGGTATTATGTCTTTGTGCATATGTTTGTAACAGGCAAAAGGAATCGAGATAGACCCATGGTTCCTTTTGAGAATATGCATATAATCACTTTCTGAGTCGATTCATACAAGTTCGTCCGTCCGTCTGTTGATGTTAAATTGTAAACAAAGTACAGGTCGCATTTATAATCCGAAATTTATATGGGATCTACATATATATAAATCAGGATCGATTTAGAGTAAACATAACACATGTCATTTTAGACTTTTTGGGTACGAATGCTATATATCTTTGGGTATTGTATAAGTATTTAGGAGAGCTATATCCAAATCCGAGCCGATTTCAATTCATTCCAGACTTAATTAAATCCAAAATTCCAATTTGTTGTCCCTTTATATAAAATGGGAAGAAAATATATAAATATGAGACTACTTTGTGTAAGTATGCCATTATGTGAGCTATATCTAAATCTGAATTGATTGCAATGAAAGACTGTGCGAAATTTTTTGGCAATCGGAGTGTAATCTATATATATAAAAGAGTTGCGTTATAAGTGACTGACTGATCATCAACGCCCAGACGAAACGGCTAAAGCTAGAAACTTGAAATTTGGCATGTAGTTCGGGTTTGGTGAGGAGGCGTGTGATAAGGCGGGGTTTTTGGAAATTCGTACTAAAAGGTACTAAAATGTATTAAAAAGTGTACTACACGGGAACGGTTAGATGTAGAACTCTGAAATTTGGTATGCAGCTTTGCCTACGATACGCGAAGTGGTATGTGTGAAAAAATTTTGGAATTTAGTACTAAGAGGTACTAAAAAGTACTAAATATTATATTTCAATGGATATCTGAAACATGGTATGTAGCTTAAGCTATTACAAATATAATGACGTGCAAAAATATTTTTTGGAAATTAGTACAAAAATTTACTAAAAAGTACTAAAACTGTATTACTACGGAACGGTTGGAAGTAGAACTGTGAAATTTGGTATGCAGCTTTGTCAATGATAAGCAAATCAGAATGTGTGAACAAATTTTGGAAATTAGTACTAAAGGTACTAAAATATACTAAATATTATACTACGATGAAACAGGTAGGGATAGATGTCTGAAATTTGGTATATAGCTTAAGCTATTGCAAATAGAATGATGTGCAGAAATAGGTTTTTGGAAATTAGTACTAAAATGGTACTAACAACTGTATTACGCCGGAACGATTGGAACTACAACTCTGAAATTTGGTATGCAGCTTTGTCAATGATAAACAATGCATAATACGCATATTTTTTTGCAATTTAGTACTAAAGTGGTGATAAAAAGTACTAAATAATAGTATAATTTATAAACTGATAGAAATAGAAAATCGAATGCTATGCATAATTCTTTTGGAATTAGTACTAAATACTGTAGTATAATGGAACCGGTAGGAATAGAAATCTGAAACGCGGTACATAGATTTAACTATTACAAATACTATGCGATACAATAACGTATTTTTGAAATAAGTACTAATAATATTAACTTATAATGGAAAAATTAGAGATTGAGATCTGGAAATTAGTATGTAGCTTAACTATTACAAATGGAGCGATATGTATAAATATTTTTGGGAAATTGCTAAATAATACTAAATATTGTACCACAGTGAATGGTAAAAAATATAAATGTAAATTTAGAGTACAAAAATGTTCAACTATTAGTACATATAATAGGCTTGGTTTATTGAAAATTTGTCCTGAAATTTTGTATTTATTTTTAGTTATAACAAATTAAAAAGGTTTTTTTTTTAATTTGTAGTAAAAAGTACTAAATGGAAAAGGCTAGAGACAGATATCCGAATTTTAGTATTTGTCTTTGACTATGGCAAATAAAATGTTTTATGGAAATATTTTTCGAACATTTTTACTAAAAGTTACTAATGGTTATATGAACTACAGTTTCCAATCTCACATGGATCTGTACTACAGCGAATGATTTTGTGAATTTTAGTTAAAACTTCCAATGTAGTGAAAAACGGACGAGATTTCATATACAATTAAGTCAAACTATGCAAACAAGCCGCTGAACACCACATGCACTAAAGTGTACGCACTTTAAAACGCAAATGTTTCAAACATTTCTAAAATAATAGTGCTGATATTTATTTCCAATGATGTTTCCAACCACATTGGTTGGTGTAATGAATAATGGGCTGGATTTTTACGTCGAGGATATACTAAAATACCGACAATTTTTTCATTGGGGATTTTGTAATACGTAACGCAACAGAAATTGTAATTCGTACTTAAAGGGTACTAAAACGTACTAGTAAGTACTAAAACGTACTAGATATTTTACATTAGTATTAAATTACCGTAAGGAACAAAAAAGGTTAAAAACGTATTATGGTAGGGGTGAGGGGGCAACTTTGAACACTTTTTTTCTTTCAAGGGTCATAATTTTTTTATTTTATAATTTTTGGTTTCTTATAAATTTTAACTAATAGGTACATATGCAACCTTTACAATGAATATACATACTTTAAGCTTGATATTAATATGTTATTACTGTTTTAATGGACGAAGTCAAAGTGTTCAAACCTGAAAAAGCTAGCCAAAGTGGTTTACGCAGATAGAGAACAAGATTGCCATATACAAAAATGTAGTTGCGGGTCGGAAAAACGTTAAACAAAGATTTTATGAGCGCTGATCAAAGGTGCCCCACGTTGAAAGGTGCCCCCTCTCCCCTACTATTTGCATTGGTTCATCGGGAGGATGGAGAAAATAGTACACTTCCAGAAAATATAACAATAAGTAAGTCGATTTAATAGGATAGAAGCATCAACGCTTCTGTTCGAAAGAAATACGAAGTAGGATATGAGATTAAAAAAAATTAAGATATAAAACCTATAATAAAAATGGTTCAAATCTATACTTAAACCAAAAACTATAAAAAGTTTCGCTAACAACGTAGCGGGCCTATGCTAGTCATTTATATAAAATCGAATAACTATATATGTTGGGGCACTTCCTGCAGCTTCAGTTCATTGTTTGGATTGTCTTTTGTCTCTGGATTATAGTGGTGGATCCTTATATCATCATTATGAAAGGACGCTATAAATCAATTTTATTTCGCTTAAAACTATGTTAATTCTTATGCGTTTTTGATCGACCACATCATTATGCATTTTTTGTTCCGATAAACCTTTTTTATGTAAAATTTTTAATAACAGCACACATTTCTAATTTTGTCGATTGTAAAAAAATGCGGATGCCTCTTTTTTGAACACCTGTTTCTATATGAAGGACTTGCCAGATCGAAACAAAATTTAACATGTGTTCATAACAGAGATGAAAGTTTCCCAAATGTTTAACTTTTTTCGGTTTATACCGCACTTTTGGTGCTAGGCTAAAAAGTTTCCGAACTGCCCTCGTATATGGGAGTTGTATTTTAATCGGGACAAATAAATGAACTGCGTATCTATCCAATTCCGATGGTAAATGCAAACTGTACTTTATTTACAATTTTATATTAACAGACGGACAGACTTAGAAAGTGACTATATGCATATTCTCAAAAGTAAATATGGGAGTAAGACATGCCAAAGCGTAATGAGGGGCATACAAATTTGATTTATAAGCACTTTAACACTATAAAAGTACCAATAACTGCTAGATAACGTTTTGTTTTCACATGTCACTATGCACATGGGGAGATGGATTTCAATTGTCATAAAGGACATTAAAATACCGACCATTTTTGTCGAAACAGTTCTTTTTTCACTTGAATGAAAGCAATCCGGAATGAAATGGTCATAAAGTGGAAATTATTCTTTTTATACCCTTCACCACACTGTGGTACAGGGTATTATGTCTTTGTACATATGTTTGTAACAGGCAAAAGGA